ACATTTTCATTTATTTATTTATTTTTAATGAATGTGGATTTGAGACTTGCAGAAAGAGAGGGAGGGGGGCCGACAGGCTGAATAGCAGCTTTCCAAAGCGGAGGCCAGGGTATGCTGTGGCACTGTACGGTTTGTGACGGTAGGGGGTTTCCATTCAGACAGCATCAGTGTGACCCACTGTCTTCCCTGTCAGCCTTTCAGTCTAATTATGTTTGCTTAAATGATGTGTACTGTAGCTTCAGCTTCTTTTTACTTGATTTCTGTTTAGCCAGCTTTGATTGCAGTTTTGTGCAGCATCTTGATCATACTCTGTGTTAAAGCTTTAGGAAATCCCTTTGACAGATTTTAGTATTTGACCCAGTTGTAGCTCAATCTCAGTGCAGCAAATCAGGTATCAGATACACATGCTCTTCTGACTATTCCCCCACATGATGTCATTTTTTTAAAACACAGCTATTAAAATTTTGTTTTGCTTTCAGTGAACTCAGTCACATATGGACTGCGTATTTCTGTTTAGCTCATGCAGGATGCCTCAGAGGAAAGTTCATTACATCAAGGACGGGTTTAAGCAAAGCCAGATCTCCTATAATCCTGTGAGTCCATTCAGAGTCACCCTTTGCGTTGTTGATATGAGGTCATTCTTTCACGTTTTGCAAGAGTGTTGTTAAGTCAGAGGATCCAACCGGTGCTTCTAGCTGCAGGGGTTCTGTTTCAGAATGGGTGCACCTTTATTCACGTTTGGTGTGTATGCCTAGGAAATTTGTACAAATAGTCAATGGTTTGGATATGCAGACCTGCAAGCGCCTAGTGACGTTATCCTTTGACTGTGTTCCTGTGGTGTCCCAGAGGCATCAGATTTCCACTAATGTACTCCTTAAATAGATAAGTTAAAAAACAATATATTCAAATATATTCAAGTTTTTTCTCATTAAACATCTCACATTTACTTTGCTGTTAATATAGTTTCATAAAAATCATTATGTCTTCACTTTAGACGTGAGATCAGTGTGTCAACTTCCCAGTGCTTTGGCCCTGCTGTTTTCTAGAAAGTTCTTCACGTCTGCGATCAGACATGTGGCATCTGTTTGTGGTCCTTTGTATTCACTGCTGTATAAGGCTTTGTATAAGGCTTTCATTAGTAAACATAATCAGTGAGGAAAATGTGAAATGATGTGATGGAAATGGAAAAATGTCACGAAGAAGATATGAAAGATCTTGAAGCAAAACCGGAGCAAAACAAGAACTAAATGATTTGGGTTGGAACATGACGTATGAAATAGAAATGAGAGACTGTTAACTGTAAAAACGTGTCTTTGAAATTTTATATAAGGAACTGCTGCCACTGGTCTGCCTTAGTTTTTTCAGCCCATGTGTTTGTAACATAATCTACATGCTAATTATAACTGTATTTACTCAGGCCTCAGTGTTGTTGTTTTATCTGTCACTGAGAGTATTACACTGTTGTAAATTCCTAAAAAACAACCTCCAAGGGTCACTTCACATTCCACAGCCACTCTAAGGTTGCACTTATAAATCATTAAAAAACAAACAAAGTTTGAAGGCTACATTAACCTAAAAGTGTCTGTGGGTGACGGTCACACGTTGGTGGTAATGAGGTAACACTCGAAACCACTTAGAATTTTTTCTTCCCCATCACCTCATCAGTACTTCTTCACCAGAAAAACCCCGCAGACTGCAACCACTTAATAACGTGGTGATGATGTATGCTAAACTGTTTAAGGAGTGAGCTCTTTAAACTTGAGGGATCCTCAGTGTTTGGAGAAAATTCAGATAATAGAATTTTTTTTTAACAAACTTAAGTACTGATGTGTCAGACAGTAGATACTTTTATCTACATATAGTATGATATAGTAAAAACAAGATGATGAGGTCATTGTGAAGAAACTTTCCAGCAATGACTTTCACAATTTAACATGAAGACTCTCCTTGATTCTGTTTCACACGCTGATGATGAAATTCTGCTACTAAATTAAAGGCTTCTCTCCAAACATGACTTTTGTTAGATTCACTTGTATGAGCTCTTCTAACATTTAGCCTGTGTGTTGTAAGATTTATCCTTGGTTAAAACTTGTTTAAAACTTGTTTCAAGTGCCCAGTTCCCCAGACATGGATTAGCTAGAACACAAAAACTTTTTTTTTCTTTTTCTTTTTTTACCTGGGATTAGGCTTAATCCACATCTTGGAAAGAAGCTAAAAAATAGTTTTGATGTAGAGATGAGTCATTCAATTCAAGTCATTTCAATTAAATTCTGTGTTATTTATATGCCACTTAATCACAACAACAGCGGCCTCAAGGTGCTTTATAATATCTACAGTAATAGAGAGAAAACGTCAACAATCGAACAACCCCTATGAGCAAACACCTGGTGACGGTGTAAAGCAAAAACTCTGTTTTAACAGGAAGAAAACCAGGTTAAGGGAAAGAGAAGCCATCTGCCGTGATCGGACACGGCAAGGCAGACTGTAGAAGAGAACCAGCGTTTAATAACTCTTATGATTAGACTTAGTAACAAATAATGTACCAACTATTTGGCAAGTGTAGCTGTTGTGTAGCTAACTTCTATCAGTTTGCTGAATATTAAACTAGTTGAGAAGATTAAATAAACTAATTTCAAGTTACAGTGCACTAGGCTGTTAATGACACCAAACAAACCAACTTCCTTCATGAATGTTATCTATAGAATTACATATATACATGTAGAAGAAATTAGCATTAAAACTGCACTTTTAGTAAACTCCACACTCTTTAAAAACATCATTAGTATAAACATTTGAGCACAGAAGCTGCAAAGACCTCAACTGTTCTTTAGCTTCATTTCTCTCTGTCATCCCATGAACATGGCGCACGTGGCAGCAGAGTAACGGCAGCTTGACCCGGTTACACCTGGACCCCGTGGACCTACTTCCTCTCCCCCCCAGGCAGACATGTGTTCTCTGTTTGGTTTGTGTTCACTCGAAGAGGACACGAGGCTAGCGCACACCATCGCACACACTCTTGAGCATGACTATGAGCTAATGCAGACTCGACACACGCCCACAGACCTTATGTCAGGATAGGATGTGGAACCAGTGGTGTATTAATGCATTTGGTGTTTCTCAAACCTATTTTTCTTTTTCTTTTTTCCATTGAGTGATTTCGTATTTCATCTTTTGTCCTTTATTTTTAATCACTCAATCCACACTTTAGAGGGAGACCACGTCCTAAGTGTGAGGGGAGCAGCTGTCGCCTGTCACATGCGGGTTTAAAGAGGGTGTGTGTGTCTGTTGTGTCTGCATAGCAAGCAAATGGCCGCCACAGAGTCAGGGCGTGCAGAGCCACACGTCCGTTTCATCTCCGTCCAGCTGTCCTCTCTTCCTGTCTTCTTAATTTATTTGCAGGGCTGCACCTAAGAGAAATCTACACCTTAGAGAAAATGTGGCGCTAAAAATAATCGGGCAGCTTTTGTGTTTAACTTTACAATGATCTCCCATTCTCACAGCACTTGCTGCTTTAGGTTGTGTTTACATGTCCTTTCGAAGTCACGGTGTAATTTTTATGGCTCCTCTTTTTGTGACTGCTTAGTTGACGAATAAAGAAATTAAGCTGGTCGATTAACCTCGCAGCTGCCTCGTTCCCTGTGTCCATTACAGAGCCTATTTTCTATTTTCTCCTCTTTTGTTCTTAGGATACAAGTTGACTCTTATTCTCTAACTTTTGTTGTTTTTAACTTCAAAAGCACAAACTGAAATATTTAACATACAAATAAGTCAGGATGGGGGCATATTTTATTGCTGTGTAGCTGGAAGGAGCTGAATTACTTTAAAAAGCCATAAATTAATTGCGGGGTCTCCCTTGCTGCAGCTCAAGGCCTCGACATGTGTTTACTTGTTTGTGTGTCTTCACTGCTGTTTTCCCAGGAGGGAGGAGTAGTCGACATATGGCTGTAGACGGAGGTTTTCATTGATTCTTTGATCTTCACTTTTCCCCTCTCTGTTTTTAGGTTTACTACCATTTAAAAGTAGTTCTGCTTAGAGGCTGATTCAGGTTTGCAGGTTTGCAGCCATGAGTCCTTTTTATAATGACCCGAATCATATGCAGTATTGCAGGGGCACAGTCAACGTTAATATTTCATCAGGTATTCTGGTGATTATTTCTCCACTAGTTTATCAGAAAGTTAAATAACGGAACAGCTGAATGAGTAAATTCTGTTTGCATGTGATTGATTATTCTTTGTCCAGCTCTCCTCCACGCGGTGCCCCTTCTTAGTCCTCCTGTATCTCATTAGCATTGTAAATCAGTGCAGTTGAGGAGTGCTGTCAAGGGGTCCACTCCCTCCAAAAATTTCTGCCACTAAAAGCAAAAAATGGACTAACAAGCACAGCCTCTGGGGAGCAAATGGCTCTCACGGGCTTGACCTTAGGTACTTAATTTCATGTCTCATGTTTAATCATTAAGCCTTTGAGTGGGTGGGTCGTTTGCACGGACAGGCGCCACATTACCTGAAGGAGTCGATAATAATACATCGAAGGCTACTTAATCGATTATTTTAGTCGATGAGTGTCGCAACAAGCAAGGACAGGGAGCGGCATTAAAAGTGGGGGGTGTTGATGCTTGATTTTTCTGATCATTGTAGTGGTCTCTGGTCTGAGGAACACCCAGAGCTTCACCCTCAGAGCTGCCAGTATGAATTATCGGCTGGTCTGTTTTCTTTATTGGCCATAACTCAATTCTCTCTCTTGTTTGCAAAACTGCCCCGAGCTCTGGAGGGCATCTGGCAGCAGCAAACTCGATGTTTGTGCATGAGACTAATGATTACCCTCAATCACCAGACCTCGCCCTTCTTTCCAGAGACAGCCTCGTGTTGCTTGTTGCTCAAAAACCCTGAAATATTGCTACATTTTTCGTCTTTAGATAGGAGAAAAATCTATTTAACATCGGACTCCACCACTCTGTTTACATGTTCATTTATGTATTTGCGTGTATGTGTGTTTTTTAACAGGTCGCAGGGGAACAGAAATATCACCCAGAATGCTTCACATGTCTGAACTGCCGATCGTTCATCGGTGATGGAGACACATACGCTCTGGTGGAGAGATCTAAACTGTACTGGTGAGCATCCGTCACTGTAAAGTTTAAACAAAAAAGCTGAGGCGCTTGCTTTATGTGTCACATCCATCATAGCCTGTGAAACTAGTACTCATGATCTTTCCCCAGTTTCATCCTCTGCCATAAGCTAATCCGCTCAGAATCTGTAGGAAAGCTCGAAAGTGTGCCATAAGCTGCTGTTGATTGACAAAATCTCAAATTTATTTCGCTCATTTCTGGCTTCAAAGGGCTTTTTGTCAACATTATGACAAACTGGTGACAACTGGCAGAAGACATGCTCATATCTGAGTGTGGTTTAAGCATGAAACAAGTCATAAAACCATTAAACTGGGAGAAGAATGCTTTAATTATCATATAAACAGTAGCTCCAGTTTGAACATCATATTGTTAGTTGCTAGCTTCCAATAGCTCCAGGGTTGCTTTAATGTTCTTGTCACAAGTTTCAGACTGTATCTATCAAAGAATATCACGAGAGAGGCGGCTAATTGTATTCTGCAGCAACATAATGACATCGCAGTGTCCATAAAGACTTAGATTCAACAAGAACAGTGAGTCTGGGGTTACATGAGAGACAGAAGACACTGAGACAGCCTAAATCTACAGAACTATGGCACCTCCCCCACAATACCTTTGAATTACTCACCTTGAGAGCTGGCGTTTTCTCAGATCATTACATTCAATGAGAGAGTCGCATGTTGCTGACTGACATGACACAGAAAGGATATCAGCAACAGCTTTACAGTTGGGGGGGGCATCACCTCATAGGTTATTAGTCACTTCATAACATTCTGACTTATCAAAGGTCAACCTGACTCAAAACAATGAGTGTACAGTGTTGTCTTGGCTGAGCCGAAGCAACATGTGACACTGTGAAAATTATTGTAATGAGAAGTTGATTTTTCATACAAACCTCACGAGGATTCCTATTATCTCTTTTATTACTGCTGTTCTCATTTTTAGAAAAATAAATAAAATAAAAATCAATTCTATTTTTAATCTCTACTTCTGTTCCTCTCTGGCTCCAGTGGTCACTGCTACTACCAGACCATCGTGACCCCGGTGTCGCTACCGGACTCGCCATGCTCACGGATCCCTCACACGGTCACACTGGTGTCCATCCCGGCCTCCGCTGATGGCAACAATGGACGCAAAGGGCGCGGTTTCTCCGTGGCGATTGACCAGCCGCTAAGCCCGACCAACGGCTACAGTCCCGAACATGGACACACCGTCAGAGTCTCCCAGTGAGCCACGTTTGTGTTTTGTGGATAAAATGAATATCGTGTTTCAGTTTGTGGAATGTAGAGCAAGTGGAAAATGAAGAGGAAAGGCGGAATGAGTTAAGAGATGCAGCATTAGGGAAGGTTAATGGTGGAGGACAAAGGATAAAGGAGGGGGATTTATAAATGGAGGCCAGAGTGATAGATGAGATTCATTTAAAATGTATAATAGAGTGGAAGGATAGTCACTGTTATTCAAATGAGCTCAGACTTATCTGCTCTCTGGACAATACTAAAAGAAAAATGTCCCCTGTGTGTACAAAGGTGTTTAAGGAGATTTCTTTTTGTTTCCAGGGTGGATGCCGACTGCATCAGCCCAGATGTGAAAAATTCCATTCACGTTGGAGACCGGATCTTAGAAATTAATGGGACGCCCATTCACAACGTTCCTCTGGATGAGGTATTCATCACTATTTTTATGTGTTTGCTGCTAAACGATGATGCTTTAGTTTCACTCAGGCGGTTCTCTGTGTTCCATTGTTTTGGAGGAAAATGGGATGATATCCATCTTCAGCTTTTGAGGATTTCCAGTGGCAAGATGAGACTTAATAATATAACCAGCTGTTTAAATAAATAAATGTTTCAGTAAATTCATAAGGGAAGTTACTGAAACATGAGTGCTTCATCTAACCCTGAACTTATAAGCAAATCCAACCAGAGCACTTCAATGAGCCGATATATCCTTTTAAGTTTTGAAATGCATTAGTGCCGTTCACTTTTTGATCTGACCATCCTGTCTGATCTGTCTCTTCTTCTCCAGATTGACCTGCTGATCCAGGAAACGAGCCGGCTGCTGCAGCTCACCATCGAACACGACCCTCACAGCCAGTCGGGACAGGAGGGAGGCTCCTCGGAGGCTGAGGACCAGGTGGACGGTCCGTTGTCCACCCCACTGTCAGAAGGGCCCAGCCCCATCCTACCCATCACCCAGCCTCCCAATCCAGACATCAGCAACCTGAAATCCCGCATCATCACGTAAGACATCAATGCAGCAGCTAATATACTTTTATCACAGTTTGCTACAAAGAGTTAAATGTATGTTCTCATCTTCCCATTAATAAAGTGTGAACACCTTCCTTCATGAAAAGGTTGATTTCTTTGTTTTCCTCTCTTTTAGGCGAAGTTACAGCACTGATAAGTCGCCTGGATCCAGCAATGCCGCGTCACCAATCTCCCAGAGGAAGGACATCAATCGGTCTGAGTCACTTCGGGTCGTCTCAAACCGGACTCACCGTATCTTCCGCCCATCTGACCTCATCCACGGAGAAGTGCTGGGGAAGGGATGCTTTGGACAAGCCATAAAGGTAGATTTGAGTTGGCAGAGACTCCTTAGACTCATTAGTTGCATGCTACATTGTAAATGTAGCATGCAACGAGTCATACTGAAAAAAATCCAGGAGGGGGAAGCATTGAGATGAAAGAAGTGTATAGTGGAAGGCGGATGGAATGACTGGGGATTTATCACATCAGGGAATTTTTCTTTTTTAAGTTTTGTCTCTTAACATTGCTTCAGTCAGTGTTGCTTAACTTGATTTGTGCATTGTGTCTTGTTAAAGGTGACACACAGAGAGACGGGTGAGGTGATGGTGATGAAAGAGCTGATCCGCTTTGATGACGAGACTCAAAAAACATTCCTCAAAGAGGTGAGTGGAGACAGACAATCTCAGAGACTTCAGACTGTGAATGAAACATAACACAGAGCAGCTTGTGCACAAAAGTTATTGTTGTTTTTTTCTTCTATAAGCCAAAGCTAAAGATTGTAGTTAAAGTGAGCCATTCCTGAATGTGGGAAAGGGATAAATGAAAAAGGCAGACGTCTCACACCTGAAGAGAAAATGAAATTAAAAAGGCATAAACTCCCCTTTGAAATAATATCAGTTCACTATGCTCACATAGTCCTGTCTCCCAAAAATGATGGCTGGGCAGATTTTATTTTACCGCCCACATTAAACTTTATCTCTCTGCCGACCTCCCTAAAGAGAGCCGATAGCAGAGGATGACTCAGGTTCAGATTTCTGTGAGGCTTTTTGGGGTTTGAGGATCTGAATCACTCCTCGTGTTCCTGTTTGGCGCTAGATTAGCCTCATTCATCCAGTTAACTGCCTCCTAAATGGGATGTTTGAAGCTCAGAAAAATGGTTCCACTTTAGTTGTGGATTATGAGTGGGTATTTAGCTTTATTATTGGGTTGAAACAGTGATGAGTCTTGTAATTAGAAAAGTGAGTAAAGAGATTCGCTGTAAAATGAGCCCCAATCACAGCTAAGCAATGATTATTACTCGTGCTGGCTGCTTGTTTGTAGGTGGCCCAAGTCTTAAATTACTGAGTCTCGTGTAATCCTCATCGGTGAAGATTAGAAAAGAAGGAGGCAAACATTTCAGATGTCATGTGTAACAGTGGCGTGCTGCCTCCTCCATGTGACTTTAGTTTTACCAGTAGTGTAGTCACATTTGTAAAGTAGCAGAAGTAACTGCAAAAATATTAACACTGACTGTCATAATTTGTTCAGGTGATAGTTTTGTACTGTGAATATTTAAGATCCCTTACAGCTGCTGTGGACTTTTCCCAGAGATGTTACGACAGTGTGTGAAAATAAATAATTATTTCTGTCTTTAAGGTGAAAGTCATGCGATGCCTGGATCACCCCAATGTGCTCAAGTTCATCGGAGTCCTCTACAAAGACAAGAGACTCAACTTCATCGCAGAGTACATCAAAGGAGGCACTTTGCGGGAAATCATCAAGAAAATGGTAAACAAATGGGGGGGTGTTTGTTTCCTATATGGAATCCCAATGCACGGACTAGCATGGTTATTATTAATAAGGATAATAATAAAAATAAAGAAGAAAGGATTCATCACTTTATACCAGTATGTTACATTAAGTTGTGTGTTTTGGTTTTTCCTATAGGACTCAAACTATCCCTGGAACCAGCGGGTCAGTTTTGCTAAGGACATCGCTGCTGGGATGGTGAGTGTATATACTGTTAATACACTCTGGAAAACAAAGGTTTTTCTGCATGGAGAAAGTGGTTTAGATCATTATTATTGTTTTGCCACTGCATACACAAAAACACAGAACACGACACTGCCAGACTCTAAAACATACAGAGGGAAGTGAAGATGGTGCGGTTGTATTGTCAATAACAAAACATAACCAAGATCATAACCTTATAAATAAAAATCAAATCCTGTTGAGCCAAGAGAAAAGTAGAGATCAGTGGTTGTGAGAGATAACCACCGCTTCCTGTTAGATGCACTCTGAATATCTGCTGTACACATACTTTTTGCTTTAGTCTTGCTGTTGTCTCCCTCTAGTGGTCATGTTTGTGAGCTACAACACTTGTGAGGTACTTTTCTTACTATAAAGGTTAAATCGGAGCATAAATTCCTGCAGGATAAGAACACAGGTTCTCTGGATTCCCCCCCAGATAGCTGTACAGTGATGCATGTCAAGCATGACTGTGTCATTGTATATTCAGCAAGAGCTTTTTGGCAGTGTTCTACTTACAGATTATCAAAAGACTGTTTATTTATTTTTATTCTTCCCGCCTTTCCTTCCTCTCCTATCTGTCTGTCATTCAGGCATATCTGCACTCCATGAACATTATTCACCGGGACCTGAACTCTCACAACTGTCTAGTCCGAGAGGTAAGAACTTGTCTTCCTGTACACTTTTGTGTTTGTGCCGACATACCTCTGCACATACAGCATGTTTTCTTTAAGGATTTAGGACGGCGCACCTGCCATTCGCTCATACAAAAACAAAAAAGGCCTTTGTTCGCAGTTGCTATGGGAGACTAAGACGACTTAAAAAACACTCCACACAAGAAGCTTAAAGCAGAAACATTCAGCTTGCCGGACCTAAACAAGGGGAGTGCTGAACACGTGTCACATGACAACAAAATGTTTGCCTGACAGCCTGGAGATTAATTTTAAGCTCACTAGCGAAGCTTAAAGCTGATTCACCACAGATATATCCCTGAACACTATGTCTGTCTTTTTTTCAGAAGTGATGATGTTGATAGTGAAAAGAGTGAATCCAGAACTAGTAACTAGCAGGTTGACGCTTTTTTCAGACAGTGTTTCCCTCAAGCTGTAAAGCGAATGAACTAAATATGCCCATTTCCTTTATGAAAAGTGAACAAGTCATTAAACCTGTCAGCCTGTGGTCTCACACACAAGCTGTCCCCTGCTCCCAGCAAGTGATTTCATTGCATCTGACATCATTTTATACTGTGAATGTCGTTAATGTGAATACTTTGTGTAGTAAAAATCACATTTAGTGACTTTTGGTGAGTATGCTTGTTGCATAAAAATAAAATGTTTTGGCATATTTCACTTTAAAGAACAACACAGTGGTGGTGGCAGACTTCGGGCTGGCTCGACTCATGGTGGACGACAAGAACGGGGAAAAGCTGACGCAGGGAAAGCTGTCTGGCATCAAGAGGCCCGACCGCCGGAAGAGATACACGGTGGTGGGAAACCCCTACTGGATGGCTCCAGAGATGATCCATGGTATGAACTACAGGAAGTGATCCATGTCCTTGCTTACCTGTGCTAATCACAAATATTTTATTGAGTATGAGATCACCAAAAATATTTTGTCTTTTTCCATCGCAGGGAAGAGCTACGATGAGAGAGTAGACATCTTTTCCTTTGGTATCATGCTCTGCGAGGTAAGCTATCCATCAGCTGCTCTGGATATTTTGGATTCCTGAAATTATATTTTTTTCATGAATAAACCCGGAGATCTCAAATGTCTTCAGGGCCTCCAGATGATAAAACCAGTCTAAGGTGTTATTCTGTAATTAGAGGAAAAAGTTAACACTGTCAAACCTTGAATTTAGCCTCATATGAAACACACCATTACATTTTATGAGGGGAACAGTCTTCCTTCTCCCAAACTCCACATTTCTTAGAGGGGGAAAATTGCTTTCCGACTGAGCATCCAGCGCCACAGTGATGAAGGCTTGCAGCCTGGCCACACACCATCCACATAATTTGGGCTCAACAGTGTAGGAGCTCCAGTATGAGTTCTCCAGATGAACGTTATTATCCAGAGAACATTACAGGGATTAGAGGGCAGGAAAGCAAAGAAGCCTTCATGTGGCTGCTGACGGGCACACAAATGATAGTTGTGGTCTGCTGGCACCATGAGCTTCTGTTTGGGGGGTTTGCTGGTTTTCAGCTGGAGGGCTGACCAAGACTGGGGGAGACTTCTGACACTTCGATCTTTAACTCTTTTTGCTCTTTCTTGCTCTTTCCAGGTCATTGGCAGGGTGAATGCTGACCCCGACTACCTCCCCAGAGCGACGGACTTTGGACTGAACATCTCGGGTTTCCTGGAGCACTACTGTCCCACCAACTGTCCCCGCGCCTTCTTCCCCATGGCTGCTGTGTGCTGTGACCTCGATGCAGACAAACGGTCAGACACCAGATTCATTTTGACATGTAACCTAAAGGGACAGTTCACCAAGAGTTGGATTATCACAGGAGCCAGCTTTTTATTTACAGAGGTTTTTCTGATACTAACCAACCAAAAAAAACTATTTTCTCAATCCTTTGAAACTGACCTAAACTTCCAATTCTAACAACTTTGGTTACTTCAGCACATTAAAAGGATTAAACAAGCATAAATCCTTCACTGTGTTGTATGACTAACTCAAGTAAACGCCCGTCAGGTACCTGGATTTTTCAATTCTGAGCAAAAAAATCACGTTTTATTGTGTTTTGAGGTGAACTGTCCCTTTAATTTATAACAAAAGAACTTGATAAATACAAATAAATTGGAGAGGTTTACAAACTGTGGTGTCCGTCTGCTTTCTTAATACACAGGCCTGCTTTCTCGAAACTGGAGGAGTGGCTGGAGAACCTAAAGATGCACTTGGACATCGGTCTGCCCCTGATGTCCGAAGTGGATCAGCTGCACAAGGCCTTCTGGGAGCACCACAGCATAACACGTCCTGAGAACGGCCTGCACACCCACCCCAAGCAGCCAGAGTAGACCCGAGCATAACAGGGACAAGTGGGACGTTATCAGTAACCCCCACAGGGGTGGCGACCACCTTGCCTGGATTGGCGCAGCGGGCGGAGGAGTCATGTAAATACCCCTCCGTGTTTGCGGGAGCAGACTGGCTCAGGCTCAGTAAATAGACTCAGGGGGAAAAATGTCAAACTGAGAAAGCCACCTGCGCACACATATTGACTTTCAAAGTAAAATCAAGAGACATTAATTAGAATTGCTTGATTCTGCTGCACCTGAAGCTACAATGGAACACATCATATGCAATCAGACCCGACTTTCAAATCACAAATCAGCTCTCGAATCATGTAGATTTAACTTTAGAGGTCATACCAGGTCAAGAATACTTGCTGTACTATTGTAGTGTGTATATTCATGTGGAAATATGATCCCCCCGCCCCCACCCCTAAAAACAATGCATACAGCAGACCTTCACTTTAGGCATCTACAGAATATATTGTGCAGTAGGTGTTTGCAGGTTTGGTTTTGCTTTCTGTTTGGACGTCAAAGACGAGGGAGTGTGAGTGTGTGTGTATGTCTGTGTGTGTCGTTTAGAGGTTTAGATCGACTCATGAAGCAAACCCTTTCAAGCTTTAAATAGTTCACAGAAGAGCGCATGACTGTAAATAATGCTGTCAGGGCAAATCCTGGTTCTTCGTGTCCCTCTGACCTCATTTGGTCACAAACCACTAATCTACTTGTGTTGCTGCCCCTCTCCCCTATTTCTTGTGTAGCACTGACTTTCACATGGAGGTACACGCACCCCTTTTTGGCCTAGATTTGGTACGTTGTCTCTCAGTTTTAAGAGCCGTTGGCATATCTCATCCGCACCGACATTTAAAGACTTAGCAGTGTACATAACCTATGACAATGTAAATGTTTTAAATATAGTAAATGTACAGACATATTTTATATACGTACGCGACATTGCCATATTTTTATTGGCCGACCAGAAATGGAGAGTAGAGGTTTGACTGCAGTTAAAAAGGCACAGCCGAAAGGTTTTTTTCTTCCCCCCCTCTTCTCTTTCTACATTTCCACCACTGTGGCAGGTTTGGGGCTTTTACTGTTCGACGTATGTGCAATCTTAATCCCTAAAACGTTATTTTAAACCCCGTAAATGTTACATTTTCGTCTTTTCTCTCTATCCGAAAAAGCAGCAGTCAACCTGCGAGCTTTTGTGTCGCCACAGATGTCCGCTGGAATAAACGTTAAAATAATACTGGATCAATCTAATCGCATCAAATGGCTTTAAACTAGCTGAAACTCTAAGACTACTACAATTATATGTGGTTTTGAGAGCAATCAAGCAGTTCTTAAGGGTTCCCTCTTCTCTCGTGTACTGTACAGTAGTTAAGGTACTGCCTCATTACGTCAGCTGTCTGTCTCACACCTCTGTCTCTTGTTTACATGTAAACGCTGGCTGTAAATATCACTGTAGTCCTTCCATTGTCTGTGTGCATCCTCAGAAATAATCTCCTTTGCACCTTCTAACATGAGACATTTATATCTGTTTGTTTGTTTGTTTTTTTAATCCTGCTGATGTTTTCACAAGCTGCATGATATGCTTGCTAGGTCTGCTCAGCTTCTGAACAGAGTTATTTTTGTCTTTATTTGAGATTTAAAAAAAAAAATTATAAAAGAAAGACAAAAAGTGTAAACAGAGTAAGCCGGGGTTTTAAAAAAAGGAAAAAACAAAACACAGCATCCCTCTCTCTCTTTTTGTTTTTAATAGCTATATACCCACTGAAATCTTTTTGTACACATTTGAGTACTTTGATTTGCACTATATAACCAAGTGGCTATTTAAAGCCACGTTTGTTAATTTTTCTCTCTTGGGCTACTTGTGATAAGGAAATAATGTCAGTTCAGGTTGAAATATGAATGCAAGACACTGATAGAGCCTTTTAACTATAAAAAATGGGATCCGGGAAATTCATCCTCTCGATAGCAAACTGTACCGTGTTTGGAGCGTGCTTCTGATTTATTATGAAGATGCATTTACACGGTTAAACTTTAAATACTGTTTTTTGGCAGCAGATTCGTCAACCCCTCCTCTCATATATCTGAGGTAATATTGCTAATAGTTTCGTTTCAGCACCACTTTTTCTACCTAAATAAAGCTAAAGTTTCCAAGCTTTTGCTACCGTGAGGATGAGATGTCCCGGCTCTGCCTGCTGCCTACAGACCAGTCCTTTGCGAATGATGTTCTGTGTTGTTTCTGACTGCTTGTTCCATGTATGACGCCCACAGAGGATGCAACCACTGCTGGTCTTTCTGACAATAGAGCACTTCCTCACCTTTTCATTGTACTCTTTTTGGCTCAGGGCCGTAATATTCTGGAGCTTTTTCTTGATTCAGTTAATCCAGCAGCTTTGCAGAAAACCGCTCCTCAGCACCGACACTGAGAAAACATGTAAACTATGTCAGTATGTACGCTCGTAACACAAATACGCTTCTGTAAAGTGAGCTCCTCCCAGTTTATGTGTTCGTCCGTGGGCAAATTTTCTTTCTCCATCCCAGTCTGAGCCATGTTGAGCATGTTAGGCGTGTCTGTGAGGAAGTGTTGATGATCGCCGAGAATGTCGCCGCAGCACTTCTTTGCAAAGGATCGTTACCTCTGAACAATGCTGTGCCTTTGTTGTAAGCTAGCCTTGCCAACGATTTGAAAACATGAACTGATTTCCCTTTTTTTAATGTATCATAAGTGCAAGCCTGATTCAAGTGGGTTGATTATCGTTGCTGAAACCACGTTGTATGAGATTTCATCTTGTTCTGTAACATATTTATATTTTCCAGATCTCCATTGTTAGTTTTGATATTTTCATATTTCTTTTTTGTCTTATTTAATTTTTTTCTTTCTTTCTTTCTTTCTTTTTTACACAAGCTGTGAAAACAATTCTGCACTTTAATCCTGAACGTTTAGACTCTGAGGAGGCAACTTTTTTTTTTCCATTTTGTCACAGCTACAAATAAAACTGTTGCTCCTTAAAATAAACCAGGTGTCTGTTCTTCTTACACAATACTATGCAACAGTCTGGAGGCAGCCTTTGTTTCTTTATATGGTGCGAGGAAAATGGGAAATGTTTGCAGCAGTTTAATGAAATATGCAGACATGCATAGAAATACTGTATATAAGGCAACAACAAAGATCCAAGCTTGAAAGTCAATATTTGTCTTGACCACTTTTATTCTCCAACACGGCATGAACAAGCAGCTTTCTTGTCATTTGTTTAAGCAGTCTTCAGGAATAGTTCTGGTTCCTCTGAAGTGATGTATATAAAAAATGATGTGTCACTTAAGGCTTTTGTGCAGTATTATATCTATATTCACTCTGCGATTAACCTCCTTCCACTACTGAAGCACCAGTGAGCTCTAAATATGGTTGTTCCGATGACATGTGCTTATCTCGGAGAGCAGTATCAGCACTAGCTGCAGAGAAACTGTGTGGGCAACATTAAAGTGATAAAAATAGTGCTTGTTTCAACTTGGGATGATGGAGGGAGTGAGTATTTTAAAAAAGTGTTTACAAAGCAACCACCAGATGTCACCATGTGTCTCTTATTATATCCGCTCATCATTTAGATTCATTTACAGTTAGCAGTATACACCTGTCACTACTACTGTTAAAAACAATAAACAAACACAGCATGAGTGGAAGACATGTTTACAGCTTTTTCTTAAATTAAAGCGCACAGTTTAAAGATAATTGTATTAAATCAGAAACAGTCCAGCTAAAAGCAAATATACTCTTGTAGTACTGCTGAAGTCTTAATATTTAAGCATGAATTTCAGTGTTGAGTTGTGGAGGTGCAGTTTTCAGATTCTAAAATGAGAGTATGTAAGTAAGAAATTAGTGAGAAATGCAGTTATCACAGCTTCAACGAGGTGTCACCCTCAAGTGTGTTGCTTTGTCACATCAACACTTTTCACAGATCTTCAGCTGACTCCAATCTGAGACGATACAAACTGCAGATCTTCATGTCTGAGAACCATGAAAGAGTTGAAGTTGTATCCTGCTTTATTCCCTTACTTGGAGTCACGGTTTTCATTTTTAATTATAAAGAGAAGATTCACAGTCAGATTCTTAAGTGGTCTAACGGGCTGATTAGTGTACATCAAACAGTTGCAAGGGTTGGATGTGCAGAACAAAGTTTAAAAACAGCTTTACTCCAGCAGCCATCACTCAGATGAACAAATTGTAGCCTTTTTACTTTGTGGGTTACTGAATGCTCAAAATGATTTAGTTCTTTTTTTCAATCTTTTTGTACTATGCTTATGTTGTCTGCTGTGTGTTGAAACTGTGCATGTGAGGATTGATGACTCAGGATTACAGAACAAATCTACCTATGGATACAAATAAAGTAACCTGAACCTGTTTATACATCAAAATCAATTAATTATAGATTGGCACTAACTAATAAATACACATGTAAAAGCTCAAATTTTAGGCTGGTTAGACGAATGTTTCAGCCTAAGCTGGCAAAGCATCTTATGGGTGGAAACAGCATCTAGCTACTGAAAATAATACTATTTAAAATAAGTAAATTTCCCCCCAAAATTTAAGTGCAATATTTTGGTGAACATCTTGAATCAAAGCCGGATGTCTACACTTCATATGTTTACAATACTTTTGTTCGATTGTAGAATTTTGATAGACGGAAATGACCCCCAACTAATCACCGCCTCCTCCCTCAAAAAAAAAATACTAAATAAAGTAAAAACTAAATTAAAAAAAACGGAGTTTAGCTTTGTCGTTATTTGTGACGCTCCAACGTTCACACACACCTGTGTTTACCTGTCCTCCTCCGATGCTAACAGCTTCCCCGGAGCGCTGCAGTTTATTCCTCTGAGACGCACGTGACCGTTTTTCCCGACGCGCATCCACGTGCGATTGTTTTCATTCCGACGATGCTGCGGCAACCGCGGCTGCTCTCTGACGTCACCGAGCTGGCAGTCAGGAGGCGGCTCGACAGTTTGAACCGCGAACGGAGAGAGAGTGTGTGTGTGTGAGAGAGAGAGAGAGAGAGAGCGAGAGAAAGAGTGTGTGTGTATGTATGTGTAGACACGGGTTTGTCCGGTTACGGCACGCAGGCGAGTGTTTTACAGTCACTGTTCAGATTCGGAGAGGAAATTAAGGAAAATACCGACGAAGAAGAGGAGGGGGGAAAAGAGAAGAAGAAGGTCGCGGCCTTTGGCGCTCAGTGAAACTTTAAGATGGAAAATTCATCCAGCAACAGCCGGTTTCGGTCCGCAATGTTCAACCACGGTGAGTCCTCACATCCGACACTGAATGCGGAGATGCTCGTCTACTTTCTGAATAGGACCTACCTAAGAAAAAATAAATAAATAATCACATGTTCTTCCTTTTAAACGGTATTATTGTTATAATTTAATCAGTTAAACACACAAATCGTCACAATCTTCATCATCTCAGGTCTGTTTGGCTACAGCTCCGGGTTGTAAGCCGGTGATATAAGTGCAGGTTTTATTTTTATGGGTCTACTCAGACAGACAGGACAGGATTGAGGGTACACTTCGTCCCGCTGAATGAAAAATCCTTGGAAAGCCTGGCAGCAGCCTGAGCTCCACACGGGACGACAGCACTATAATTCTGCAGCTAAAGACTCACCACACCGAACTATTTCTGGACTACGCAGATCTGCAGTCAGCTCCATAAATATTTGGACAGTGACACTGTGTTGTTGTTTTTTTTTGCTTTTTTGTTGTTTTTTGTTGTTTGTTTGTTTTTAATCTCTGTAATCTGCTGTGTTTAGCATCAAAGGATTGAAATGAGCCTTTACGAGGTGATTAAAATGGAGACATTTGGCTTTAATTCAAGAGGTTTAACAAAACTCTGGAAGGGGGGCTATAGACATCAAGTGCAGAGTTCCCCCCCCATCCAGCTGCCTTCACTTGACTGGTAATTAGTGTAGCTATGTGCCCTGAAAGGGTTAATGCAGATAAGGACCACAGCTTCATTGGGTCATTATAAAACCAGTGTGGTGAAGTACAGAGGCAAAATGACTGTACTGGGGAGATGGATGGAGAGCTTGGAGTGTATATTACACCATCACCATAAAACAAGAAGTTCTGGTTCAGTTTGTTGCCTCAGATCGCTTTTCACTGACACCTTTATGTTTTTCTTTCTCCTTTGGATGTTGTGGAACGGCATTCGACAGCCCAAAACCAAACATTGGGCTCCACTGTTGGGTTTTTCTAAGCCAAGATATTTGTAAAGTTTTTGTCTTTTTCAGTGGTATTTTAGAAATTTGTGGACACATTGTTCTCTTGACATCAAATAGATTTGGTTCCCTGTTGTAAACAGTTTGAATCTCACCTGTATCTTATCGTGTCGGTGTGGGTACAGAGAGTAGTTTATTGGGCACAGTGATCTTGTGATGTGAAGTACCGGAGGCTGCAGTTGAGCTGAAACATTCCCCTCATTGAAACAGCTACCCTGTGGTGTACTGTATGCACAGAAGGGTTGTGTAATGGATACAAACATGGCGAAAAGAAAGTGGGAGGTGATGAGTGCTCTTGTGCTGAGCGTTCATATGATATTCTTTTCGTGTGTTGCTCATGTCATATGTTGCACCCAGATGATTAGAAATATGCAGTGAACCTTTTACTTTGTCAGGTCTGTGCTCAGTGTCCCTGCTCTAAGTAGTAGTAAGGTTCTACTACTATGCTGATTTAAGCAATAAAACAGCCCTTTAATACACAATAAGACCCAAATCCCTGTTGCAGGAAATGAGACTGTCCAGAGACAGATCTTCTGCATCCCTGATAATTTTTGTGGAGTCTTTAGATTTCACAGCATAGTTCTAAGTATAAATGTTAGTGTTTCCATGTCCTGCTGCTTGCTCTTTCTTAGGTGTCATTTTTTTTCAGAACTGCTGGCATGTAATAAAATAGAACAATTAGTTTATTGTAAACATATGTAACTGGGTTTAATTAACAAATATACCAGATGTACTGTATGTGCTAAATACACTTTTTCACTCTGTTTGAAAGAAGGATAAATATTTTGGGAAGAAGTCAGAGTGATGTGGGTTTAAAATTATCCAAAGTGAACCCAGAGCTGTTTCTATTTGATTTGTATCCATAATAAAATGCCCAAGCTTTAATAGAGCTCAGTCTGTTAAATGCCAAAGATATATTACTCCTAAACCAAATGTTACACAATAGATAAGCCAGGATGCATACTAGAAGACAAATAAGGTTTGAGGGCAATTTTAAACTCTTTTAAACATTTGGATCCCTCAGAGTTAATCATGCAGTGTTTGGTTTGTTATACATTGTAGAGGTATTGGGCCAAACCCCTTAATCTTTGAATTCCAGTGTTTCGTTTAGTCCCATTGTTGCTGGTGTATAAAATCCAGCACTTAGCTTCTTCCCTCCTAAATATTCCACAGTTAGCTGTAAGTGGTATTATTGCAAGGTGGAAGCATTTAGGAAGCACTGCATCTCCACCTGGCCTCAGCAACTGCAGAGCTTCCAGCCTCCTTTGGCATTAACATCAGCATGAAAACTGTGTGCTGGGCTCCTGTGCTAGCATGGGTTCCATGGCTGACAGTGGGTGTTTGGGACAGGTGGCACAGTGTTCCTCAGGGAAAGCCTTGTCCTCCTGCTTTGGCTGTGCTGACAGCCTCGCTGGTGGAGGATCTCAGCATGTAGGTCAAGAGAGAGAAAATTAGGAAGTGAACCAAGTAGCTTTTACACTACTGTAGTTCTGTGAGTCCATAATTAGATGTTTTCATTCCAAAATTTGCAGATATTTTTGGAGAGCTGTGAGTGTGAATGTTAAAGTTATCCGTTTGTTGTTAACCGTGCCATCATGTCACAGTAATTTGGTGCTTCTGGAATCAACACATGCTGCTCAGTTTGGTTTTAAAGAGCAGCAGCAGTAATATGCAGCTCATACATTATATATAGTCCATATGCAGGACTGACTAAACCACCTCCTGTTGCTGCTCTTATTGAAGTGGTTGTAAATGGTGGCAGAGGCTATAATGATCTTTCAGCTCCGTGACCTGTGCCTCAGTCTGCTCTGCACGCTCACAGGCAGAGATGGTCCTGAGTTTAAAGCAGTGAATCAATATTTGTTATCGTGCCAGGAAGCCTTCCAGGATGGGCAGCTTTGAGTAAAGAAATTTGTTTTGCCTCTTAAGACTTGAAGGAATCAGTAAATGGCAAACCTCATGAATAATTTGGATTGTCGCCTGCTCATGACTAATTACTGGAGTGGCCAAATGTTTCAAAAGTGCTAGACTTTGAGATTGGTGCCAGTTTGATGCTATTTTTATCTGAACCTTTCACCAGTACAAGACTTCTGTGTGGAAGTTGGTTTTCAAATGTTATTTTCCTTGCTTTCTGTCAAACTAAACTCCTGGCTAGCCCACTCCAACTCTGTAAACCCACCAGGAGCCTCTGCCCCAAATTATTTACATAACACAAATGTGCAGACACTGATGACTAAATTCCATCCTTTAAGCATGCGGGCTTGTAGCATCCTCACTTGAGCTTTACCACAAGCCACATGCTGATGTTGTTGCTTTTCAAACACCCACCCATCCATCCATCCATCCATTTATCTAAGTTCAAAGTTGGAGAGGTAGGGTACAACCTGCACAGGCTTAAACAGCCAACAGGATCAAAATTTTATTCATTATCCCTTGTGTGTATTTCAGTAAAAGTTGACCCATGTCACTGAAACCTTTTTAAATATCTTGGCACCAGAAAGAAAGAGACAAAGATGTGTTTTTGTTGTTGTGGTTAAATTGTGGGATTATGATTGAATCTAAAAATGTGTCAATTATTTTCGATCTTCAAAAGAATGCTTTACAAATATATATTGGTGTTCCATGTATTTTTGCTTACTTGTTTGTTATTTTATTTATTTATGTTTTGTCGTTGAGAGTGTTGTTTAAAATTGTTTGAATTACTTGATTGAATATTGAGACTGTTTTGGAGCATTTTGTGTTTTCTGGTAACACTTCTTAGATAATCAGCATTTTCTTTGCATTTAGATATTCTCCTAAGTTTCAGGGTTGCTCATGATTTTTCTGTATGACTAAACATTTTGGTATTTATGTGTTTCTTCTCCTCCCCTATGTGTCCGACCTGTGTTGGATGTCATCTTCCTCCGACCAGATGATGAGGTAAGAAATCCTTTTTTGCTTAAATCCTACAACCACAGACAAAGTAGGGCGCTGATGAGGCTAGGCTTGACCTTGATTATCTCACCAAAATGAGGACACTGTGGTTTGTGGATGTCAGGGCATTTTATCCCTGCTAGCCGGAGTTGTTGTTCAGTTTCAGATCAGAAGTCACTTTTCTTTTCACAAATTGCTCTCCCTCATCTTGTTTGTTTTTGGTTTTGTTTTTTTTGCTGTGAATACTTTGAGTGTGAAATGGTCTGGGCTTTTCACCTGGCTTCATGTGAATGGGTGTGTTCACAGAGCCCAGATTTTCTTGTTCCACATGTTCTGCAGAGTGACAGCTGAGAATCTGCTACATGTTCCAGCTTTCTTTTTTTTCTTTTGTCTGTTGGATGATGAAAGGGCGACTGTAGACACTCAAATATGTAAAGTGAAACTTGGAGTCAGCAGCTCTCCTGAACCTGTGCTGCTGTTTGAGTGACTGCAGTCAAGTGTGATCAGCAACCAGATGACTGTCACTTTAGTGTCAAAACCCACCAATGCTTTTGCTTTACTCCTTTGATGTCACTGTCCAAAACCCCACAGCTGTGTTTGGCCCCACTGACTGGGGATGAAAGAGGACGGAGAGGAGGAGGACGGGGTGTTTGTTTTCCATCCCGAGCAGTTCACAGACGAGTGGAGAGGGGTTGGATTTGCGTGGGTGTGACAAACCCCGGTTTCTTTCTCAGCTGCATTCCTGGCCTGTGTGACAGAGCTGCAGGGTGTGTTGACAGAGGGAACAACACCTAGGGAGGAAACTTCTAGCATCTGTCCAAGGCCGAGAAGTGGCGGCTGCTGCTGCTGTAGCTCCTGGCTGGATGACAGCATTCGCTCGTTACTCTCCTGACGGTTTGGCACATCTTTCGTTGGGTATGTGATTAAATAAGCAGATGGTCCGAGTCTGCATAATCTTAATTCTCGCTCTTCAAACCACACCCATTGTTGCTATTCTCATTAAACACAGTCTACTGTATCTACACATCTGAAAGCCATCATTAGGTCCAGATTGACATAAATAAAGCACCCTTCCCCTGCACCCACACCCAGTGGCTGTAAAACCACGCAGGACTGTGGGGTGTGGTGGTTCAAGAGGGTGGCTGTGGCTTCCTTTTGTTACCCTAAAAATGCCACATGCACACACACACACGCACACAGACACAGAGACGTCAGATGGGCAGTACCAGCTGTGGAAAGCATGTAGAAAAGGACGGTTGCTTCTCTTGAGAGAACTTCTCCACACACACATCAGCATGGTGCATTCCTCTGTGGCTTTTACTCAACTAGCCATTAGCTTTCTGAGGCTTCAGCTGCTGCTTGCCACTGCAGCCAACATGCAGGCGCTCTATAGTTGGAGTTTATTAGCCCATTAGCTCGCTAGCGACTGCAGCGGATGCCGGTTTCCCTCTCTCCTCTGATTCTTCTTTGGCTGCGTCTGTTTTTCTCATCTGCTGTTGCTGCAACTGTGCACGCTCTCTTTGGGTTAACTTAGAAACTGGAAATGCAGAATGTCTAGTTTATGCTGCACCACGCCTGTTTGTCAATTAACAGCCATTTCTTTGTTAAAGACACACTCACACTACTTGTTGTCATTGTGAAGTAAAAATAGCAAGCAATTAAGCTCAGGGAATGTTGAATGATTACATTCTGTCTGTCTTGTTTTTCCAGTGGGGTGTTAAATAAGTACAAATGAAAATTGAATCAAGCCTTACCATTACTTAAATGTCTTAAAAACTTCTCTCTCTTTAGCAAGCAAAACTTTAACATGGATAGTTCCATAGCTGTCTTCTTACTATAATGATCATAGCATATTTATGTATATATGTCTGTATGTAACCCATTTCCACCTTAATGAGTTGATCAATCTGAATGAGACTTCGCACGGACATCGTCACACATACAGCGGTTATTAACAGCTTTATGTTTTTGAAAAAGATTTCTTGTGAATCCCTTTTTTTTTCCTTTTTTTTTTTTAAATTTCCTAATATATTATGTCCATTTCATCATCCAATCATCATTGGCGCTGTGATGGAAATTTGCTTGAGTCGCCACAAATTAGAGAGTGAAGAGTTTGAAAATTGCACCAAAGGCCTGGTGCTGTGTGAATATTGTAAAACGACATCAGTAGGCGTTAAGAAAGTCCAATTGAAAACAAGCAAGTAAATCAAATAAATGAATGGTAACTGTTTTGTGACAGTGGGAAGGAAGAACTCCCTTTTAACAGGAAGAAACCTCCAATAGAATCTTGCTCGGGGAGTGTCAGCCGGTGTGTCCGGTTGTGAGAGAGGGAAAATGCTGAGAAAATGTTGCTTTTCTGACTTAAACACGCTAAAACCGCAGATTATGTTACAGGTTTGATATTTAGCATGTGTATGACACATATAAAGTATCTTTATTTCCCCACTGTCCTCTCCGATCTAGTAATTATCAGAACTGTTAACTTATTTCAGCTGTGGCTTCTTGAGTTTCCACAAGATGCATCCATAGAGAATTAACTGTGAGGCCTGCATGTACTATTCCCCTTAAAGTCATTATTCTTCCCTGTGCAAAACTTAAATGATTATAATTAAGGCAAAAACGAATAAAGTGTATAAAACCACAAATTTATAATGAGGACCAAACAACAGATGAGTAGTTTTTCAGTCTTCATTGCTGCTTTACTCGCTCAGTATTTGAGAAAGGGAAACGGGAGATAAAAAAATTTTGCACACCTGGTTTACTTTACATGATGTGTGTTATCGTATGAATCTCAGCTAACATACAGTGTCAAATATGAACATTATATTCTCTCCTCAGTTACATTTTCTCAATGAATCCCTTGGCAGTAGCACATCTCTCTTCTGTAAGCTGTTTTATTGAGACTATGATGTACGACTCATCAGTGAAAGCTGACCCATCGTTCTGTGTATCTGTGCAAAGTGTGTGGGCTTCATTCTCTGAGCGTGTAGTGAGATTCCCTGTGTAATGCAGACACTGTTTTTGCCCGTGGGTGTGGCTTTGACAGGCAGCCTGCTGGGCTTTTTTCAGCTTCATTCGATGGCAAACAGTCGTGTTAGGGAGCAGGCACGCAACACTTCACTGAACACAAGGCTGCGGTAACGCGGCAGTAAAAGGGTGGTGAAAGAGAAGAGATAATGGAGGGATTTTTTTTGTCAGCATTAGACGCCATCTTTTGTTTAATATTGATGTTGAAGTTTTTCCACTGAAAGACGGGCTACAAATATGCTTTTCTGCCATTATGAAAGTGAAATATAAGAATATAATATAAGGGGGATACACAGGCATTTAATAATAAAAAATTTAAAAAAGCTGTACAGTATAGATCACACAATACCACTTTTTTATGTCCGATACCGATATCATAAATTTGGATATCTGCCGATACTGACATGAATCCGATATATTCTATTTTATAATCAATAAAGCATTTTTTAAATATCCTGCAGCATTTTGTATAAGTTCATAGTCAAATTTAAAAAGACAAAACACTAAAACTCTTCTGTTACACTTGTATGCAAAAAATACTCTGCACCCCAATCTTTTAATTTAAACTTTTAGCAGAACTTTAAATCTAAGTATTTAAAGTAAGATTCCAAAAGTAATTTAAAATGCCATTTTTTGCAGATTTCAAAAACTCTGGTTCTGGAAAAAGTTCAATATCAGCACAAAATAACAAAACAAAAATGTTTATATTCAACAATGAAAAAAAAACCAAATGGACCCATTTGTACTTAAAGCTATTTATGTTGATAAATAGACATCCAGAGTGGAAAGAAGTGCAAATAAATGCAAACACGGCTTCATGACACTCATCTTTTATCATGATTGAAGTCAGTGTAAGCTGTTTTGTATCACATTTAACCTGAGACTGAATTTTGTGTCAATTCTATACGAAACTTAACACAGGTATGAAAAAAAACAAAACGTGTTTTTTATAGTTTGTTTGTTTGTTTTTTCGAACCACGGAACTATTTAGCCTGCAACACAGTCAGTTTTGTTTAGGCTTTTTTTAAGTAAAACTTGAGTCTATCCATTGCACGGTCAATGACAATGCACAGACATCCGTGTCCCATATATCGGTTGTTAAGCTCAACGTAGGAATGCTTTACAAACATTCAGAGATGAACTTACACACTTGCTTTACTTAACTGGAATAGCTTGCTTGGAGATGAAAAGCCGATTTGGCAGCACGTAGCGAGGTTCCAGATGCTTTCAGTGTGAAGTAACTCAAGACCACCGACAGGTCTCGGACGCAACAGCCGCTCTTTCATGTGACTCATACTGCTCCAACGTGCTAAGGTCATTACCTGGGCTACGCCATGTCGCAAGTTTTGTGAGTTGCTTTTGTGATATTTAATAGATCAAATTACAATTTTTTTTTTTTTTTTATTTCTCCCTGATATCCGATCCAGTAATTTAAGTAAGGATCGGACCAATACTGTATATCGGTCCATCCCTAGAACAGTATAAAATAATGCAGTCCAGTAGGCCTTATCCTTTTTCTCTGGACTTTTTTATCTTTATTTGTGCAGTAAAGTTAGAAAATAAAAAGTGAAGGACTAACACAGTAAAATAGTGTGGAGCAGTGACTCTGCAGCTGCTGAGAGCTTTTTAACCCTTTTGGTATGGACCACAAGCCTTTGGCCATCAGGTTTCCAGGAAAATGTTCATTTAGCTGCTTCAGCTTAGGTCTTGTCAAAGTTTGCTGGGACACTGGAATAAGATAGAACTACTGTTAATGATGATGTTTATCCAACAGCTGTACTCTACCTCCAGCAACAGCCTGAAATTTAGCACTAAGATGATTCTTCATGCTGATATGACTTCCTGTCTAAGTTACTTCATGATTTTAGCCTTATCTATTGCCTCTTTATGTATGCATTCCTTTGCTAATCTTTCTGGAGTAGCTGCTTGAAGACTAATGTTGGAAATGCCTTTGTGAATCACCCTGTTCATTCCTACTTTGAAATCCCAACTTCCTGCGCTCACTGCTTCCTTCCTATCCCTGCTGGGCTTGCTCACCCAGCCCTCAAGCTAACCGGCTTCATATCTGCAGATGTCCCACGTCAGCCCGAGCTCGCTTTCCAACCTCCACTCTGAGCACTCTGCAGAAGTTTTGGTCAGAGGGCGACCTTAAACATTCCTCTAAAGCCTCACTGAAGTGGCCCCTGCCAATCCTCCCACTTGCTATAAATAATCTCAGCCCAGTTCCCATGGCCCCCACTAAGGTCCCAGCACTCAGCTAACAATGCGTGATATGCTTAAACCAATGAGATTACCAGCTTTTCTGACTGAGATTATCTTTCAGGGAGAACCTGAGGCAGGCGATGAGACAGTGGCAGGTGTTGCCAATATGGTCAGGCCACTGTGGTTTAAGGGGAATAAAAAGACCATTTCATATAAACATATTCTGTGCCGTGCTCCAGCTGTTTCTTGTTTAGGAGACTTGGAATTGTTCGTTTAAGAACCATCTTCAGAAAATATGCCACAT